GCCCAAGGTGCCGCCCTGCCTGGAATTGAACCCTGGTCTCTCGCTTGCGAGGCGAGTGCTCTAACCACTGAGCTGCAGGACTCCAATTGACTGAATTGATAGATGATTTCAGAATGCCCGCTTATAACAAAGCTTACCCTGCTCACTGGGGATAGGTCACTGAGGTTCTCCATCCCGAATCCCTCCAACTTGCTCCCTCCCTCCATTCAAGATTTATCTCTCTGACCACGCCTTCGATCACCTTTCCCCTCCCAACCAATTTTAGCTCACATCCCCAGCTCAAGTGCCCAGGCGAGGAGTCAAGTACTTTGAGACACCCTCCCTCTGTGAAAAGTGGTAATACAAATATAAATTGTACAGTAAATACAGACTCTACACTTCACAGTAAATTCCTGTTGAGTGCTTTGAGATGTCTTGATGTTATGATAAGGAGCGATGTCAAATGCAAGGATTTCTATCACTTGACATACAGGGTCTAAAATCTTAATATTTGCTTTGAAGAACGCTATCGTTTTAACGGGCACAATCATTGTGAAGTTAATGTTTGGATATGACTGAGTCCATTCTATTTTAACGATGTTTTTCCTACCACCTTTGAATCATTGCGATCAGGTCGATGAGTGATCTACAAACTCATCGTAAAATTATAATATAACACCACCATCTGCTGGTGATGAGCGTCACAGCATCAGCCTGCGATCTCATTGTATTCCTTACGATAAACAATTTTCATTTTTATAGCACCTCATCAAGTCAAAATGATTTTAAGTTTCTTCTCAAGTAATTGCAATCGGGGTAGTGACCTTTGTAGGCAAACATGACTGCCACGTGTAGTAACATGGTCCCACATACAGCCGTGAAGTGAACGACTAATTATTCAGAGGATTACTGCCCAGGACACCAAGAGAACCTCCTGACCTGGTTATTTATCACATGGCCTTTGCTGACTTAATGTTTGTCTGAGCAGACAGATTGGACTTCAGTTTCACCTAAAGCTTAGCTACTCCAACCATGCCGCACTCCTCCAGCAATAAACTGCATCAAATACAATACAAATTACCTTTCATGTCGGGAGGACGTCCCAAGGCGTTGGACAGTCAAGGATTTGGACCTGAGCAGAGTGGGGTGGGGGGATTGTGGTAAGGGAGGGTGGAGGGCAGGGAGAGTAGGCGGGTGGCCAAAGAGTAAGGTGTTGAGACATGCCTTGAAGGAGGCAAGGGAAGGAGCGAGGTGAAGGGAATGTAGGATGGAGTTCCGAAGGGTGGAGGCGGAGGGGCTGAAGGCCCAACCACCATAGCCCTGCAAACTGGTCCTCCCCAAATAAATAATTATCTACTTCTCTCTTAAAAGTGGTTATCGAATCGGTTTTACCACGTTTTCAGACAATGCATTCCTGATCCCAACAACTCGCTGTGTGAAAAAAATGTCTCCTCACCTCCCCTCTGTTTCTTTTAACAACTATTTTAAATCAGTGTCATTGGGTTACCGACCCACCCGCCCGTGGAAATAAGTTTCTCCAGTCGTGGGGAATTTTCTTCAGAAAGTTTGGCACTATGTGTCAATGCAGAAGAGAACACATCGCCTTTATGAAGAACAAAGCTGTAGGTCTGCAGGCTTATTCTGAACCCAAGGGCAGCAATCCGAGAAAAGGGCCTTTCTTTTCTTTGCGTCGCTTGGCTCAATAAAGGCGGTATTTCCAGCAACAGCGATTGAGGAAAATGAATGTGCTTGTACATCACAAGAGAGAACTCAATTTCTATAAATACAATTTCCATAATCCTTCAGAAGTAAAGAATAGAAGCGGAGGCGACCATTCATCTTGTCGACACACTGCAGAAAGGGCTTTAAAAATAAAACAAAATGCAAGACTAACACAACTCGATGATGTGAATTCAAATGGCGCTCTGTGACTGCATCAAATCCATTTGGCATAAATCAGCAGGGGTATTAATGATAAATAAAATGCTGAGCGGCTTGCCATCACTATTTCACAACAGCCTACACACAGGATTTATCACAGGCTTCCCATCCAAAACCGAACGTCAACAAGCTCAACTCACTGTAACTCAAATACTCGGTAGCAAAAAGTGCCCTTATTCAATCAAAGCAAATGGCTGGTGGTAAACAGCCATCTGCTTTAAGTGTAGATCTAATAAACAGAGACTAAGTAATGAAAATTCAACAGCGGTTTCTGTTTTCTGTTGCACCGAATCCTATCCATTATTCTGAAGCTTAATAAACCTGATTTTACACTTATGGACAAAATTGTATGAAGTGATTCCAGCAGGAGAACATTAGGAAACCTGATTCATATTTCTTTGCTGCAAAAATCACACGGGTATAAAACTATGCACAGCTACAACCTCCACTAACCAGATCTGAAGTCCAATTTGCTTTCCAATGTCTCAAGACTGGTAGTTCTTTAAAAAAAATGACAGAGCGGTCGATCAGACCACCCAAGAACCATCAAAGTATCACATCTCAAACAAATCAGTTCAAATTTGCAATGTCTGTGTTTGTGCTGCAAAGGTGCAAACAAGGAAATCAATGGCAAGCTATGCCGTTTTAGCTGGTTAGATTCCAGCAGTTACCTCAACGCACACTCTGGAGCCCCCAAGCCTTGGCTCTCGCCAACCTGCACCTAATACTTTCTGGAATTAGGTAAGGGGATGCATCCCTCCAGGGAGAGAGGGAGTGCACAATCCATTGCAACAATCTATTTCTGGGATTTCCATGTGTAGGTGGGATGCATGAAGTTCTCGGCTTGGTTTGGATACTCTTTAATAAGTACGGTGATGGGTTTCCGCACGTGTCAAGACACCTGGCTGACCAAAAAAAAAAATCAAACCATCTCCTCTTGGTAGTTTATGCTAGCGAGCTTGAATGCTAATACTATACATTAAAGATTGCCTCAAAAAATCCAGTATAAATTAGGCATAATACACAATCACTGCCTGTGTAAACTGCTCGGCTTCTAATACTTCACTGTTCTACTTAAGTACAGCAAAATATAGGTCAGGAGCACTCTGTGCTTCGCCTGAGTGTTATCAGTATTGAGGAATAGGACACGATTCTCTCTCAGACCCAGAGACAGCAGTGTAGTGTGATCACAGCTTGCTATTGCCCCAACAGATGTACTTGAACACAAATCACAGAAAAGCACCGTTTCACAAATGTAGTTACATATAAATGCATCGACTGTACAACACTGAATAGGCCATTCAGCCCAACTAGTCTGCGTCAGCGTTTGTACTCCACATGAATCTCCATCATACCCAATCTCTTTGGAAGTGAGGTTGACAATTTTAGGCAGGTTTGAGCTCTGGCTTTGTATGTACCAGGAACAGTCTCAGGTGACAGTAAACACATTTCGCTTTCTTCCCTTACATGGAGCAGGGAGCGATTTAATTTCCATTAATCTCAATCCAAACATCAGTCCTACGTGTGCAAAAAGGACAGTCCGTAAGAAAAAGCATTCACACGCTGGGAAAACATTTCAAATTTGCTCAAAAAGGAACGCATGATTTATTTGATACTAAATTTCTGACAAGTGAAGAATATTGTGTTTGGGGTAAAGATAGAAACGCAATTGGCTTGGGAAGTATGTCACTGTGAACAGACTAAAAGGAAATGTGCCTCATGACTGACAAGCAGACGTGTCAATCTGTCAGTAGCTTGATTCCATTTCACAGCCTTGGTTTTGATCCCTCTTTGCTGCAGCAGTTTGCACTCATTTCAACTGAAGCAAATCAACTGTGATATCCAGTCCTCACTCAGAAGACTACATGCAGATGATCAAAAAGGGCAGCCAATAGATACATTCTGAAATGCTGAAGCTATTAATCAGTGCTGCAACACAAGGTGTTGTCACATTTCTAAAGATATTTGCTTCTTATTTAACATGAAAATGTATTGCAAAATCTCTCCCACCCATAGCCAACTTAATAACTCATTACTTATTAACCTGTTTGCTGGATATGTGTGCCGAAAAAACTAAAAAAAAATATACTGCTCTGGCTGCTACAAAGATCGTAACAGATGGGTTCTTGGCGATTTTCCAGACTTTTACCTACAAAATACGGCTACTTCACTTTAGTGTATCCTGTGAAGCTCTTTGACATATCCATCCGACATGAAAGGCTCTATACCAAATGTAAGGATTATTATTATTATTTCATTGTGGCTTTTAAAGGCAATGAGGTAACTAAAAGAAACTGGCATCAGAAAGCTTGATGGTGCGATGGGGAAATGTAGAGCGGAAGGATGGGATCAGATGGGTTGAAGGGACTCCTTCATTCAAACCAACCTGTGTGATCCACAAATTTCAGACAACTCTGCAATAATTGTTAAGTGAGGGTTCACTTTTTCACTTCCTGAATCTCACCCAACTAAGAGCATGCTGGGAGTGCTGTTCTACACTTTAAAAAAGAACGTGTGCATGATTTAAGAGTTCAATAATGAGGAAAAACGACAACTATTCTTCCAGCAATAACTGTGTTATCTCATATAAGATATTATAAATAGTGGGCGAGGGGAAAATGGTTGAGCTTGGCTCCATTGGCAGCACTGGTGTTAACCAGACTTATTTGGTATTGAAGGCACTGAAGGGGTCTAAAAGTACTAAGGGGCTCTTTCTTTCCCCACCCCCTTCTCTGCTTGTCCTTATAATGTGCTTCCTTCCAACATCCCCCAGTTCTGACGAAAGGTTATCGACCTGAAACGTTAATTCATTTTCCTCTCTCCATAGATGCTGCCTGACCTGCTCCCAGCGACTTGTTTTTATTCGGTAGCATTTGCCTACAAAATACACAGTCACTACGTTTTACAGTATACAGCATACTGTGAAGCGCTTTGAGACGTTACAGGTTACAGCATACTGTGAAGCACTTTTGAGACGCCCTGAAGTGAACGACTCTGTATCAGATGTAAGGATTATCAATATATTACTCTGTCCGTTGAATCAGAAGGTTGTGGGTTCAAGTCCCAAGACAGGACTTTGACTTCACGTAGTCTAGGCTGACATTTCAGTGCAGTGCTGGGGTGGGGTGAGCTTCGAGTTTCCCTCCCAATGCATAAAGTGCTAGATCAAATGCAAATTTCCTTTTGAAAAAAAGGTGTTCTGGGGCAAGATCTTGTATCTACATCAGATGTTTAGAAACAATCCTGCTCCAGACAAACGGTGAAATGTCTACAGTTCAGATTCATAGTCTTTGCAGTACTTGGAATCTTGGCGGGTTTCCATGAAGAAAGATGCCTTTAGCAGAATATCTGGAAAAGTAAAAGAAATCCTTGTTGAATGGTCCGGAGAGGCATCACAGCAGTCACCCACTGATCACTGACATTTCCTTCATTTATTTTGAGTATTTGTTTAAATCAGGGACGCAGATATTAAAACCACTAAATCAAATGCAAGGATTGGTAATAAATCCTGCCCACGCCATTTTGAGACATTTTATAATAATAATATCAATAATCCTTGCATTTGATATAGCGGTTTTCACGTCTTCTCGACGTCTCAAAGCGCTTCACAGAATAGACTGTAATGTGAATTGACCGTATATATTTTGTGCAATGCTAAGGCTATATCAAATGTAAGCATCATTATTATTCATCATCATTATTATTCAAAATACAATATGCAGTGATAGCCAAAAAGTTCCTCCACTAGGAGTACTACACAATGTCTCGATCTAACCCCTTTCTGCTGGAATCGGCTTTTCTTTTCTCGTTTAAAGTGAAACCTGGAGCCAGGAGTGCAAAATAGCATTATAAGCCGAAAAACAGCCATCAAAAAAATTACCTGGAACCACATCAGGATCTCCTTGTTCTGAGACTCTCCCCCAGGACTGTGAGAGAGCGTGAATGTCCGTCAGGTTCTCAGCACTGATGCTCTGAAGTAGGAGTCGCCTTGATAAGTATCTTTCATATTTGTTAAGAATGCACAATATCGCAGAGGGGGCAAATCGCTCACTGTCCAAGAATCACACAAACATTTCACTCTCAATACTGATAGAACCCCATTAGATCTATCTCAGGATACAATTTACAGGAATAATCCTCTTGAAAGCAGAATAAAATCTCCTCCCTCCTCCCCCACCCCTCCAAGATCTGGATCTGTACAGAATAACGCTGATTGAATGCTGATCATTTCTGGATCGAGAGGGTACTACCACCCGAGCTTTATTTCCGTGGTTTATAGTTATTTCGTTCCCAATATGGTATCTTAGAATACACTGCAGAATATATCATATCCAAAATAATATATAACGTATTAAGTAAGAGGATAAGAAAAAAGCTGGTTATTTCATAGCCTCAATTATCTTGTTGTTTCCTGTTCCACAACCCCTCAAAATATAATAATAATAATCCTTGCGTTTCTTATAGCACCCTATCATTTTGTTGAGATGACTCGAAGTGGGTCACAGGATATGCGGATAAAATTAATGAACTGTGTATTTTTGTGGATGAAAATATGCTTTTTAAAAAACAAAATGGGAAGCAAATTTCCAGTAAGAAGCAATGCTGAAGGATACTGGTTTCTGTAAAGCCTCTCGATATCTTGTAGCCATTCCAACATATCTGCTACCGAAGGGCTGAGCGCGGAGCGCTCCACAGCCAACGTCAAGCCAATCGAGTCTGCGTGTTGTTCGTACGTCTGAAAGCACGCAGCCACCTGATTGCTCGTAGTGTCCCGCACTTTTCGTAAAATATTCCTCCAAAGATATTTAGGTACAAAACAGTAAGTGATTTAATAAAGTAACAACCTCAATTAGCAATTACCAGAAGCCGCCTTGAGTGTTAGCTGATCTCAACCAGGGCAGCTGCCAAAAAGCTATAAGCCACTTCACCAGAGTCCTTCAGTTGGAGAGCAAAGGTTCGAACAACGCACGCACGGCAAATAATTATTATTGCGACTGAGGTTTCCTTTCAATAGAAAATATATGGAACTGTGCTAAAACTTACATTTGTTCACCGAGCTTTTCCAAAACGGTTCCCGTAGCCCGGTTGAGTTTATATTTGAGACGCGACTCGAGATCAGGAAAGTCTCTGAAGGCAGTGTTGCTAAACGTAAGGCTTTTGCACGCCTGTAGTTGCTCGGCGAGGTTACTCAGGGAACTCAGGAGGGGAGTGCATACTGCCAGCGTGTCGGCCCACACTCTCTCCTGCTGCTGTACGACTTGAAAGGATTTCTGAAGGGCCTGGTGAACATCCAGCAAAGCTTGCTTTTGAGACATCGCTTAGTTCCTGTTACAGTAACCCAAACACACGATGCAACATTACACACACTAAATTCTAACACACAAGAACACTTCAATAAATAATGTTTCACATTACCTCAAATATTTTGACTGAGATGTTAAGGATCTGGAAATATGTACCATTTTTACAACTGATCAAATGATTAACAGAACAGAGTTTTCTTTTTAAAAAAAAGTATATTTTGATATATAAATAGGGAAACTATTTCCTCTGGTGGGGAATCCAGAACAAAGGGAGCATAAGTTTAAAATGAGATATAAACCATTTAGGCATTAAATCAGGGGGCAGTTTTTTACCCAAAGGGTTGTGGAAATCGAGAACTTTCTCCCCAAAATGGTGGATTTTTTATCCATTAAAATTTTCAAGACTGAGATGAATAGATATTAGGTAAGGGAATCCGGAGATGTGGGACAAGGGCAGGTAATTGGAGTTGAGGTACAGATCAGCCATTATCTATAGAAGATAGAACAGGCTCATGGGGATGAATGGCCTACGTTCCTAAGATACAGACACTTTCACATTGGGGGGAATGTTCCAAAGAGCTTCACAGGGTTTCCTGCTACTGTGCCCATAACATATACACAGTCACTCCGCGTTGCACTATATCACATGAAGTGCTTTGAAACATCTTTCATATGTAAAAGACGTAAAGTCACATTTAATTATCATTATTATTTTGTAGGCAAACGTTGCAGCCAATTTATGTGCAACAATGTCCCACAAAACAACCATGAAGGGAATTACCAATTTTTATTTGCTAATTAAATAATTTTGCCAATTGCGCACAACCGCGATCCACAGTCATGGTTTGAGTGACCAGATTATTATTATTTCTTTTGGTGGGATTATACTTCTGGGAAAGCTATCCACCAATTGACTAACATTTAATACGACATATGCAAAGTACGAGTTGTGTCAAGAGTTGTGTAGAATATAAACTCTTGAACGGGATTCGGGCAGATGTATGACTTAGGCGATTATACAATTTAATACAGATCAGACTTATGTGAGGTTTGGTTTGCTGTTGTACTTTGCAATAACCCTGACTTGACTTGATTGACACACACACACACACTGCCCGTTTCCCTAAATAATGGCTCATCTGCTGCCTTTCGGTGCCTGCCATGACGCGCTCAATTCTTCCCAACACGCTTTCTTTTTCTATCCAGCGTTCACAGCGTGAGCAAAGGGGCAACAAACGTACCGCAGGAGATGCTGGAAACCATCATGCGAGCCCCATGTCTAAAAATGTCCTCCCCAGGCAGTAAAAGCGATATCTCCGTGCATTGCGGAGTCCTGCGGCTCAGCGGTTAAGAGCGCTCGCCCCGCAAGCGAGAAACCTGGGGATCGATCCCCAGCCGGGCGAAACGATGGGCAGGTTCCCTTACTCCGCGCGCGTCTGTTTACCTTACTCCGCGCGCGTCTGTTTACCTTACTCCGCGCGCGTCTGTTTACCTTACTCCGCGCGCGTCTGTTTACCTTACTCCGCGCGCGTCTGTTTACCTTACTCCGCGCGCGTCTGTTTACCTTACTCCGCGCGCGTCTGTTTACCTTACTCCGCGCGCGTCTGTTTACCTTACTCCGCGCGCCTCTGTTTCCCTTACTCCGCGCGCCTCTGTTTCCCTTACTCCGCGCGCGTCTGTTTCCCTTACTCCGCGCGCGTCTGTTTACCTTACTCCGCGCGCCTCTGTTTACCTTACTCCGCGCGCGTCTGTTTACCTTACTCCGCGCGCGTCTGTTTACCTTACTCCGCGCGCGTCTGTTTACCTTACTCCGCGCGCGTCTGTTTACCTTACTCCGCGCGCGTCTGTTTACCTTACTCCGCGCGCGTCTGTTTACCTTACTCCGCGCGCGTCTGTTTACCTTACTCCGCGCGCGTCTGTTTACCTTACTCCGCGCGCGTCTGTTTCCCTTACTCCGCGCGCGTCTGTTTCCCTTACTCCGCGCGCCTCTGTTTACCTTACTCCGCGCGCGTCTGTTTACCTTACTCCGCGCGCGTCTGTTTACCTTACTCCGCGCGCGTCTGTTTACCTTACTCCGCGCGCGTCTGTTTACCTTACTCCGCGCGCGTCTGTTTACCTGGCAGGAACCCCAACAACAACAACAACAATAATAATAATAATAAATTGGTCACCGCCACCCGTGACCGTTTGTGGGGTCGCTGCCCCGTTTCCGCCGCCGCCCGTAAAATACACGGCCGCTGCGCTTTCCGGTGTATCCCGCGATGGGCTTCGAGCTCGAAAACAACGACAAAATTGCATTGATGTGCACGTGAGCGCCGGTCGCGTCGGGGGGACGTCCCGAGGGCGCTGGTCTCGACGTCTCGAAGACGCGATGAGGCGCTCTGTCAAATGCAACGATTATTATTATTATTATTATTATTATGATGATTATTACCATCATATTGTCGGGCGGCTCCACAGCAACACAAGGCGTCGCCACCCCTCAGGCCCTTCTGCCCCTAAACCTGTCAGACAGTGATGGGTGTGTGTGTGTGGGGGGGGGAGGGGTAGTGGCTGTAAGCGCGGGGGGAGAGGCCAGGACACCAGGGGGGGGGGCTCAGTGTTACCTGGCGGCTCCAGCCCTCTCGGCGGGACTCTCTAGCCCGCGGGTGACCGTGAGGCGGCGGCCATCGCTCTCCGTCCAGACAGACAGGCGCGGGCGGGCGGGCGGCCCTCGGCCAGTGATGACGCTGCAGCTTGCTGCCATTGGTTGGGAGTGCCGGCCGGTCAGTGACGCGTTCGGCCGCGATTGGTCCGGCTCAGCGAGGGCGGCTGCGATTGGGCCGGCCGCTGGTGACGCTGGGAGCGTGATGCCATGGGCTGGGGGGGGGGGGGGGAGATACTAGCCAATCAGTGAAGCGGTACCGGACGTGTCGGGGGAGCGGGCGGGCGTGCGGGGTGGCTCAGCCCGTGCTGGGGGCGTTGATTGGTCGTAGGCCGAGACGGCGTCGATCGGCAGCTGTGATTGGCCGATCCACGGACCGCGGCGGTTGGCGTCTTCGGGTTGCGTTTGAAATTCAAACGGAGCGCGAACAGTAACCGTCACCTGGAGCCGCACTGAGGGACTGAGAGACTGAGGGAGGAAAAGGGCCAAAAAGAGAGAGAGAGAGAGAGACGGGAAGAAACAAAAAGATTTGGTTCGTATTATAATTATTATTATTATTATTGGAACGTATCGCACAAGAAATACCGAGTGACTGATATCGATTATTTTTCAATAAGACGCTACGGGGATAATGGCGTCTCGTGTTTTTTTTCTTCCAAAAAAAAGACTTAATAAAAAACACGCGCTAATAATAATAATAAGGCGGTGATTCTCCTCGGCATCGCCCCCCCCCCCCTCAGACCAAACCTGTTTCTATTTTTTAACTGTAATATAATAATAATTATGACAATATGATGATAATCATTTTAATTGGTGTTGTAGATTCTTAAGACAAAGTGACTATGATTCTCCATTCCCCCCCCACCACCAGGTTGAGCCAGGCTCTGGAACTCCATCCCCCGGTGCCTTCGCCTCCTCCCTCCTCCCTCTCCTCCTTCAAGGCCGGTCTCAAGACCTTTCTCTTCGACCGTGGCTTCAGCTCCTCCCTCGACTCTCTAACCCCCCCCTCGCTCCCTCCCCCCCTCGCTCCCTCCCCCCTTCGCTCCCTCCCCTCCTCGCTCCCTCCTCTCCCCTCCCCTCCTCGCTCCCTCCCCTCCTCGCCCCTCCCCCCCTCGCTCCCTCCTCTCCCCCCCCTCCCCTCCTCGCTCTCTCCCTCCCTTGCCCCCCCTTCTCCCCCCCTCCCATCCTCGCTCCTTCCCTCGCCTCCTCCTTCCCTCCCCTCCTCGCTCCCTCCCCTCTCCCCTCCTCGCTCCCTCCCCTTCTCACTCCCTCCCTCCCTTGCCCCCCTTCTCCTCCTCGCCTCCTCCTTCCCTCCCCTCCGAGGGCTCCCTCCCTCCCTTTTTCTTGTGTTCTTTATGAAGCCCCCCCACCCCGCGCTTGCGTGTGTTGCTGTTTACCTGTGAGACGACGACGACTTGCATTTACACGGCGAGCCGCCGCGCGCGAGTGGAGCGTCTTTGGGACGCTTAACAGTGGCAGCTCCTGACACCAAGCTCGTGTGGTGTGGGGAGGGGGGATTGGTGGATGCGGAGGTGACCGCAAACACCGTCAAAGAAGATGGTCTTCAGGTGGGATTTTGCGTAGTAAACGGGTCAGAGAGATGGGGGGCGGTGGGGTGCCAGACAGCCAGCCAGGGCATGAATGGGATTGGTAGACAAGTGAGGATCTCAAAGTTGAACCCTTGTGTGGTATTGGGGTTGTGAGAGGGTAAGTGTCCCGAAGTTTTTCATAAATTGGATTGTGAAGCTGCGGAAACTTGTCAAGGAGAGCATTGGAGGTCAAGTCACTGCAAAAACCCCCTTGTGATGCACTGCCGAGGCGGAAGGCGCAATGTAAATTTAAACTGGTTTGTTTGTTATTAAAGCGTTCTGCACCCGACAAGGTGACGTTGCCAATACCAGTGTTACTGTGTCCAGTGTCTCTATCTGTTAGGGACGCTACAGCCCTATGTAGCGATTTCAGCCAATTCAGACCGTAACAGCTCACCTTCCCCGCCTCCCCCTCCTCACTTTCTGTTACCAGAAGAGTTATCTTCTGTTATCATTGCAATCATTACCTCTTTAACCCATTAACTAACACATTCTCTTTGTCGTCCTTGTCCTGCCCCCCCCCCCCCAACTTGTCCTTAAAAACCCTGACGAAGGGTCGTGGACCCGAAACATTGACTCACTTTCCTTTCTCTTTTGATGCTGCCTGACCTGCTGAGCTTTCCCAGCTCTCTCTGTTTTTGTTTCAGATTCCAGCATCTTTTGTATTTTGTCCAAGGTTACTGTTATTGTTTTTGGTTTTTTTTAGAAAAAGCCATGGTATCGCCCAAGAAGAAAGCTGCCGGCCGTAACCGCAAGAAGAACGCACTGCAGTTAAGGAGATACGAAAAGATTCGAAGCTTCCTGAAGGATTTTGACAGCGGAGGTAATGTGTTTTGTTCTTGGTGTCCTCCGCTCCACCCTCGGCAGTTGTGCCTTCAGCCACTATGCCCCGAGGCTCTGGAACTCCCTTCACCGTGCTCCCTCTCTTCCTGTTTTTAGGTCTGCTGAAGACCTTTCTTTTCGATCACGCCTTTGGTCACCTTCCTCCCCCTGGCTTGGCCCCGGGATCCGTTACTGTGAAGCGCCCTCCGGCATGGAGGGCGCTAATTAAATCCAAGTTGTTGTGGTGACCCCCGTGATGATTGTGTTCACTTATACACCTTCATTTCTAATCAAATTAGATTTAGTAAAGTAGTCTTGAGATATTTATTTTTCAATGAAAAGTGTTGATGCAAATGCAAGCTATTATTAATTGAGAGGAATTCTTTTGTCTTTTTTTTCCTACTTGCTTTCTCTATTGTCCAATGTGGAGTTTGCAAAATTCAGCAACATTTTTATTTTTGCTGTCAATGCCAGCGCTCAGTTTGATATGCACAAGAGAGTTTATTTATGTGTATATCTGTGCTCAGTATTTGTTAATTTGACCTTGTTTCCTTTCCCCTTGCAGTTGAAGGGCGGAGTAAAGAAATGGAAAAGATGTTGAAAGATATCCTCATCTCAGTGGATGCTCATTGCAATCTTATGATTGTTAAGATTCCTTTGGCTGTCAGACAGATGACATATGTGGATTACGTTGGTAAGAGATTGCACTGGCATATTTGGTGAATTTGTATCATATCAAACCCCCTATTGTCAGTGTAACCAAATCACTTGGCTGATGTCACACCTTTACAACTTTTTCTCCATCTACTCACCAAATCAGTCTTCCATGCTTGTGTTTCTTTAGTAGTTTATGATGTTGGTGCAGGCAGGAGAGGGAAAGTGAGTGTGAATGTTGTCATAGAGCGGAAGATACTCGTGTTGAAGACTGGGAAGGGTGGAGTATTCTTCAGATTTTATTTTAGTCCACAAAATACAGTCAATCCACTTTACCGTATATGAAGCCCTGTCAGGCATCTCAACAATGTGATAAGGCAGTATATCAAATGCAAGAATTATTATGGTTTCATTTGGGAATCGGAGTTAAAGAAGAAATGGCATAGTTATATAATACTTTCAATCAGGAGGGATGGTGTGACAGGTATATGACTAGAATATGTAAAATTTAGATACATTGTAGTAAATGTTGCTATTTTTAGCTGCAATGTGTAAATTCTAAAAAAAGGCTTCCATTCTCCCCCGAGGAGATGGTTGAAGAAGGAAGTGTTGATTCCTTCAAACAACAACAACAAGATTTCATTTATAGAGCGCCTTTCACGTCGGGAGGACGTCCCAAGGCGCTGGACAGTTGGGTCAGGACCCGAGCGGGGGGAAATGGTCAGAGTGAGGGGAGGGACGGGAGGGAGTGAGGAGGAGGGGAAATGGTCAGGTGAGGGGAGGGAAGGGAGGGGGCGAGGAGGGGGTAGAGAGTCGAGAGTGGAGCTGAAGGCATGGTCAAGGAGAAAGGTCTTGAGACCGGCCTTGAAGGAGGAAAGGGAGGAAGTGGTGAAGGCACTGGGGGATGGAGTTCCAGAGCCTCAGGGCTGAGAGGCTGAAGGCCCGACCACCGATGGTAGGGCGGTTGGGGCGGGGGATGTGGAGCAGACTGGAGCCAGAGGAACGGAGGGTTCGGGCAGGTAGGTAGGGGGATAGTAGGTCGGAGAGGTAGGAGGGAGCGAGGCCGGGAATGGCCTTGTAGGTGAGGATGAGGATCTTGAATTCGATCCTCTGGGGGATGGGGAGCCAGTGGAGGCGAGCGAGGGTGGGAGTGATGTGGTCCTGAAGCCTGGTGCGGGACAGTACACGAGCTGCAGAGTTCTGAATGACCTGCAGCTTGTGGAGGGAGGGCCAGGAGGGCCGGCGAGGAGAGAGTTCCCATAGTCCAGCCTTGAACACAGATTAGATTGTTTTGTTTTCGAAAATAACATTATGGGATATAGTACATAGGTAGTTCGGGACACATGCGACTGCCAGAAAGCTGGAACGCGAACTAGATGAACCTTGCTCTTTTCTTCGCCTAACATTTCTTATGTTCTTCTGTTCATTATAAAACGATCACTTTGACGCTTTATATTTTCCCAAAAAGCTGCAGGTGGAAGTGTGCAGGCGGTGGCTGAAGCCGAGCAGGTAAATTACTCATTTTATTTTCAATGAATCAATTATCCAGTCTCGTGTGAAAATAATGGCTGGGGGTCTTTTAGTAATCTTAATTAAGATTTGGAGAATATATATATGTATATATACATTTACTTGCTGCAGAATCGAATTGCTGCTGTCGGCCTGGAAGTTGACGCCATAGAGACAGAAATTATCCAAGATGCAGTAAAGCTGAGAACTGCAAAAAAAAGTAAGCAGCATTTTAGGGTACCAGTTAATCATGTTATTGATTGGTGATCAACAGGTAGAAACATACCATTATATTCAAACCAAGTCCCTAGGTCACTTCTCTCAGTGAAGTCATTCAACTACTTAAGAACAGGAAAGATCTGCTCCCTTCATAAAGTTTCTGTTCTTCGTAGTTCGTGCTCTCAGGAGGCAGTCTGTGAGACAATAGCGCCTGGCCCAGCCCGCCACACCATCGGCTGTTGGACCTTCAGCCTCTCTGCCCCCATGTTTTTGAACTCCATTCCACAATCCTTTTGCTTTGCACCCTCCCTTGCCTTCTTCAAGGCATGTCTCAGGACCCTTCTCTTTGATTGGGCCTTCGGCCATCCTCCCACCCCAACCATCCATGCTCTCCACCCACCCTGAACCCAACTCCCTGCTCGGGTCCAAACCCTTGACTGTCTAACGCCTTGGGACATCCTGACATGCAAGGTGCTATACAAATGTAATTTGTTGTTAAATAAAATCGGTCATTCACTTCAATACTGTTTGTGTGACATTTGAGTGGGCAGATGTTCTTATAAGACAACTAGCCTGAGGGTCCACTGATGGTTTTGACTGTAGACTAGTTTCCTATGGGCTAAAAATGATTGACTTCTTGGTCAGTTGATCAATACCAACATAATTTCCTGGGTGCAGTGCATTGATTACTTGCCTGTTATGAAGTAGTTTTTGAAATGTAATGGAATCCAACTGCTGCCTTAGAACTGGGTTCTACTGTATGTTTAAAAATTATTTGTGTTAAGCTGTGTAATAAAGTTTGGAAAAATTCTCTGCAGGTAAAAGATCCAAATGTGACAAAACTCTCAGTGAAAATGAGAATATTCCTCCATCAACCAATACCAGTCGAAAGGTTAGTGAGATGTTTTCACAATAACGATTACTCAGATACATATTACACAAATCTGAGTACTCAATGGAGATAAGACCAGGCTCGTCTTAATTTTGGTGGTATTAATATATAAATGGCCAGCAAATTGGTCCCATCTGACATTGGTCTTCATCGATTGTCTTCAACTTGTGACAATCTTAAATGCTACATGAATGATAGGAAAATTGAAGCAATCTTGGATTCTTAAGATTATACGGGGAGTGCATTGGACTTATCTTCCTGTGCCCCTGTGTTTCACTCATTTGATTATTAATGTAGCAGTTTACATGGTCAATACATCAATACTGATTTATTGGAAGAGCCTATTTAATGGTTTTTACCTTGCAGTTCTGCAGGCAGCAGCTCTACCTCCAGTAGAAGCGATTTTATCTTCTCTGCAGTGCGGAGATTTCTAACATGGTAGCTGTTGCCATCCTTTCTTTACTGGCTGCAAATGATCTGTGAGCTTGTGCGCACAGATATCTCTATTCACTGGCCTGAACATATTTGGGATAGAACATGATATTCAAGTTTATTGTTTGTCATTTGTTTGCTGGCCGAGCTATTTGAAATGACATGTAAATCAATAAAAGAATGCCAGAAAATTATAATATACTAATTCTATAAATTAAACGTGTTTCTTTCTGATTTTTTTTGCAGGGTAGAGGTGCAACATTCACAGGGAAAAAAAGACATCCATCAGTTTCCACCAGCGTTAAAGGGCAAGTATCTAACCTAGGAATGGTCGAGGTGGCAAATAAAGAAGTGTATTTTTGATTAAAACTGGTTGCGTTCGATGTTTTGACCAACTCTTATTATCAATGGAAAGGTTAAAAAAAAAATTGGTCATTTTCAATTCACGGCTGTTTGTGGGACACTGCTGTGCGCAATTGGCTGCCGCATTTCGCCCACAAATATAGTCAATTCACTTTACAGTCTATTCTGTGAAGTGCTTTGAGACGTCGAGAAGACGTGAAAAGCACTATATCGAATGCAAAGATTATTATTATAGGCAAAGACATTGCTTTTTGATAATGTGATCATCCTAAGGAAGGTAGTGTAGCAACAGGTCAACGAGAAAGTGGTTTGAGTTTTCATTTCTAATTTTCTTTTTAATTATGTAGAATAAAAAAAACAAAACTGTTCACTCCGAGTAACCGAGTAGATACGAAAGGTGACCTGTGGAGACCCACACCATTAAAAACTCCAATGTTTGATTCCGGGTGAGTTTATTGAATATCTGCATATCACAGAATTCTACAATTATATATATATATATTATGTATAGAATTATACAACACAGGAGGCCATTACTGTAATGAGGCTTTACTGTAATAACCTTTTACATTTAATTTCTGTAACTGTAGACCTCAATTGTTGGGAACTAATTCCACTTGAGATTTCAAGAATGTGGGTGGCCTGGTGCATATTCCTTGTTAAAATGTGTTTTGTGAATGTTTAATTTTACTAGGGTTCTAAAGACTCCAGGAGTTCGGGTGCCAAGGCATAAGGAGCAAGTGTTTACCTGCTCAGTGAATGGAAGCCCACTGTCTGAATCTACAGAAGTAACCATTAATTTACCAGTTGGGGATTGTCAGGTAAGATTTACCAGATTTGCAAGATGCAAAATTACTTTGCAGTTCATTAATTCTTTGCATTCAAAAAACCGATGAATACAGCAGAGATGAGATTCAATAGTTATATAAACTGAATTCTTAAGAGTTGTCAGTCAAAATTGATTGGATTTAACAAAGTGATGCAGCGACATGCCTTTATGATGACTGATTTTGTTTTCCTCTCTTAGAATGTTCAGTTGACGGCTAGCAAAATAAAAGCTGCAGATTTACACCAAATGGATAAACAGACACTTGAGAGTATCAAGTTATTATCTGTAAGTAACATTTTATGTGTTTGGGGAATACTGTAACTTTTGGTTAGTGAGTAAAGGGCAGTTATTGTGAGGCTGTATGTCCAGTATCAGGCCATGATAAGGTAGTGGAAACAAAATGGCTGCAGGTCACCGCTGACTTTGCTTTCTTCAAATCTGCCAACCCAGCAGTGGAAGAGATTGTGAAACGGACACCGTCAGTGTGTATGATCGTATTGGGCTTTGCTGTGGAGGTGGGTGGGAGGGATGGTAGAGGTTAACTGCTGTGAATAAATTATGGGCCTAGTAACCTCATGCAGCTAGATTTTATTTTTTGACGGGAAAGCTGAGATCGCTGGCTAAACTTTCGTACATTGTAAATATAAATTACATCGTACAAAAAGTTTAACCAGCAATAATTGGCTTTTTGAATCCAATTTGGAGTCTAATGTTCTAACTTCTATTTGTGTTTTCAGAGTCAACTGAATGCAGTACTGAAAGGGAAAGAATGAAACCCAGGAGTGGTGTTGATAATTCTCTTCTCTTCTAGACCATGTGTATAAAGCTAAAGATTGTTCTGTTTAAATATCTGCTTACTTGGCTTGTTTTCCTGCCACTGCGTGTCACTCTGACTATAACCTTGACATGAATGGTGAATGACTTACTGTCTTAGCTCCTTTGCTTACAGTTGATGTGACTGATGGAAAAAAAGTGCTTCTATCCATCTGTGTTTCCTTATATTTATCTATCACTGTTTTTAAATTTGTGCCTCAATATTAGAACTGTTCTCTCCCTGCCCCCCCCCCCCCCACAAGTGAAATCCTGCTTTTTTTTAATAAAATAAATCTGTGTTTGGTCAATGAGACGTGGCTTTTAATTATTGCTGTTTTGTTTGTACCTCCTATTGAAGTGGTCTGAAATAGGAGTTCATTCATTCAGCCTGTTGAACATCTGACAATTTATTAGATGATGGCAAATCTTTTAATCCTACTCCCTTTGCTTCACGTTTCTAAACTTGTTGCTTTCACACATCCCAATTGATTCTATAGCTACTGCTTTGCACAGTCTCAAACCTTTTATGTAAAATTAGAGGAAAGCTTCCTCAACCAGCTTTCCTCTAATTTTAAGGCAATGGGTCATGTTACCTTTGGATTTCTTCCCTTTTGCTTGTCATTCTCCTCAATATTTTATATTAAATCAGATTGCCCCTTAGCCTCTACTGCTCTCAGGCATAATAATAATCCTTTCATGTGATATAGCGCCTTATCAAGTCTTCGAGAGGACTATAATACAGATTCATAGAGGGAATGCCATTTCACCCATCGCTCCCCTCCATAGTGTCAGCCTGGTTCAGTTGGGAGCACTCACCTCTTGAGTCAGAGGTGCAAATCCAAGCCCCAAGTTGAAACTTGGACCCCATATAGTCTGTGGTGGCACCCCAATGCCATGCTGCATGTGGAAGTGCTCTGGACGAAATGATAAACAGATCTTGTCTACCTGTTCATGAGGGTGTTAAAGTTCCCCTGGGACTGACTATTTGAAAAGAGAAGTCAGTTTCTCCCTGTGTCCTGGCTGACAGTTGCCTAAATAAAATTGGTCATTCTATTTATGGCTGTCAGAGGGACATTACATTGCGTAAATTAGCTGCCGTGTTTGCTCACAAAATAGTCACTTTGCTTTAAAGTACATCCTGTGACAGTATGCTTGTCAAATGTAAATATAAGGATTAGTTACAGTGCAGTTATAGTTTCTTTCACTTTTGTACAGCCACTTTGAAGGAGGTGACCCAACAAAGCTTAATCCTGGAGTCCTGAACTGCGGTTCGGAGCAAAAACTTCCTGTTCAAATAGAAACCCACACCATTATTTGATTTGATTAATGAATCCTAAAGTGTATCCTGTTTGTGGGTACGCAGAAGCTAATTTGATCCCTAGGTTTATAACCGGTCCATAAGCATTATAACAATATAAATCTATTCAATATTGGGCGGACAAAATTTCTACAAGTTGCTAACGTTTAAAACAAAATCACTAGATGGCAGTAGAGCTCAATAGGAAATGTGTACCACGATAATAAAATGTTTTCCTAAACGTCACTAATTGATCTGACAAATTCCTGGGTCTCATTAAATAAAGTTAAGTGTAATGACCAGATTTGTAGGCAAACATGGCAGACGATGTACACCCTACAATTAATAGTGTTCTGCGGTCTTTAACGTTCACCCGAACCAACTCTCATCCAAAGGCTGGCATCTCCCAACAATGTGGCATTTTTCCCCTCCAACAATGTACTGAAGTGTCAGCCTGGAGCGAATGCAAAACTTTCCCACAAATGCGGTTTGAACCCGTGGAGTCCTGTAGCTCAGTGGTTAGAGCACTCGCTTTGCAAGTGAGACACCTGAGTTCAATTCCCGGCAGAGGGTGAAACCTTGGGCAAGTTTCCTTACTCCACACAGAGCCTAATAATAATCCCTCCAAAAACAAAAAAACAATAATAAATTGGTCATTTTCAATCCACGACTGTTTGTGGGACATTGCTGTGCGCAATTGGCTGTCGCGTTCGCCCACAAATATACAGTCAATTCACTTTACAGTGTGTTCTGTGAAGCGCTTTGGGACGTCCTCCCGACGTGAACAGCGCTATATCAAATGCAAGGATTATTATTATTATTATTATGACATCTGATTTAGTAGTGAGAGTACTATCTGCACAGTAGCTGAACTAAGGTGATAGGTACCTTGATCCATTGAATGTCTCTCACTGCTTTTCTCACCTCAAAGCTTTCAACTGTCCAGCATCAAAACCGGGCCCTGATCTTACGTTTACCATTCATCTGCAGTTCTGCATGAAGTTGTTTCCCTACTAGTACACAGTCACTATACTTTGCAGTGAATCCTGTGATGGAGCTGTCTGATTATTATCATTATTACTGTGATAAATTCACTTCCCTTTTGAGTAAGTGGTTTTGGGTGTGGATCAAACATGCTTCTGTTTGAACTCCCCCATCCCTCATGGAAGTTCAGACAGTGACCACTTCCTTACAATCTGCTCCCCTCCGACATGCCCCAGTTCTGAAACATCAACTCATTTTCCTCTCTCCATAGATGCTGCCTGACCTGCTGCGTGTTCCCAGCGACTTGTGTTTTTATAAAAGACTAAACCGTTGCTCGTTGTTTGCTGGAGGAGTGCTTCATTGTCGGAGGTGCTGCCCTTTGTATAAGACGTTAAAAAGTCTGCTTGACAGGAGGACATTAAAGATCCCATGGTAAGGTTAGAAAAGAAGGGAGTTTCTTTCAGTTTCTTGGCCAATAATCCCCTAGATAAAAATAAAGAAAGGTCATTCATTTCATGCCTGTTTCTGGCACATTGCTCTCCACATACTGGCAAATATACCGTAACTCCACTTTACAATATATCATGTGAAGCGCTTTGCGTAATTCAAAAAAAATGAATTTTGCGTGGAGATCTGGCTGCCAAGTTTCCGCACACAAAATACAGTCAATCTATAATGTTCAGATGTATAATGTTCATAACATCAATAATGTTCTGTGAAGCACTTTGAGACGTCTCAATGACCTGATAAGGCGCTAGATCAATGCAAGGATTACTATTATTATTATTTTTATTATATATTAAGCTGCTGTATCAACTGCAAGGTTTATTATTAGATTCTAGTTACCTGGGCAGTGTGGATGGATTCAGTGGGCCTGTAGCTGGCAAGCTATTGAGAAAGTCGAGCCTCATTAGATTGTGTTATTTTTGCTTATTTTACGCCCGTCCAATATTTTTCTTTGCCAACATTGCTCTTGCTACCAAATCCAATGAAAAAAACAATGAAAAGGGGGGAAAGATGGTACAAAGTGTAGTTTAATGCACTTTTCATCAATTTTACATCGCCAGGCTGACATAATATCATGGTCCGCTGCCCAGCCACTCAGTCCCCTGATGTGCTGTGAAATTAAAGCAATACCTTCTCTTCCTCTGCGATTCTTATTGCGGAGAAACATCAGATCTGTGCACGAGATGAAATAAAGCGTGCGGGTACGTTTATCATTGTGATTTTTTTTTCCTCTCGAGCTTCTGCATGATCCCGCCCCAAAAATAGGCTGCATAATTAAGTTCACACCGCGGTGGTTTTCAATGTCTTGCGGAAGCAACTTGCCAACGCAGTGAATCCTATCTCTCGGTGTGACGGATAGATAATCCTTTTGATTATGAATTCTATTAAATGCGAGCACTGGGTGGAAATGGGGAGATTGCACCTGGATGGGTAACTGAGTCTCCATCTTAATTAATTCTGTTCAGAAGCCTGTGATGAGTAATAGATGATACTTTAAGGCTTTGAGAGCTCTGTTCCTTTTTGCAGTGTGTGTGTTATGATGTGACATGCTTTCCATACCAGATCGCTAATGTGCTGCAAGAGGATAGGTTTTCTGCGAGAATAAAACACAGGGTATTGAAAGAACTAAGTGACAGGTACCTAGTTAGACACTGGCTGTCACGTGGCACTGACCCAGGAATTTTTAAGCTGAACTCGATTTTTGTTTTGTTTTGATGGGATCTCTGTGTGCGAGTGGCATACATATGTGGGACTCTCAGTTTGGTTTGGATACTCTTAAGGTAAGTGATTTATTTGGGTCAGCCGTGTGTCTGACACAAGCAGAAACCCATCCAAACTAAACTGTTTAAAATTATCCAAACCAAACTGAGAATTCCATGCATCCCACCTGCACATGGAGATTCCAGAGACAGATTGTCGGAATAGAATACGCACCCTCTCCTGCTTACCTAATTCCAGGAAGTATCAATGATAAGAATAATCCTTGCATTTGATACAGCGCATTATCACATCTTCGCAACGTCTCAAAGCGCTTCACAGAATATACGACAAAGTGAATCGACTGTGTATATTTGGTGAGCGAACCGCGACAGCCAATTTCGCACAGCAGTGACCCACAAACAGTCGTGGATTGAGTGACCAATTTATTATTTATCTTTTTGAAGGAATTATTCTCCCGGAAAAGCGATCCGCCAATCGATTGACAAACGGGCTGCCCAACCTTTTGCCCTGCCGGGAATGAGTGCTCTAATCACTGAGCTACAGGACTCCACTTGCCAGAAGTGCATGTTAGCAAGAGCCAAGGTTTGGGCACCCTTGAGTGTGCTGGGAGTCTAACTAGCTAAAACCACACAGCTTGCCATTGATATCACTGTCTGGCAAGCTTTCCCACTGCTTGTCCACCCGACATAAGCATAGTGATGGGTTACCAAACACGTGGGTCATACACCCAGGCTGACCAAAAAAAAGGAAACAACTGTGTGCATGTAGAAGCAAGCCACCCTGCTCAGATATTGTCCAGACTATTAACACTGTAGGTCAGTTTCAGCACTGTGATAGTAGCAACAACAACAGCAGCAACGTGCATTTACACAGCGACCTTCACACAGGGTAGCATCCCGGAGAGATTCACAGCGGTGGCGTCCGACAACATGGAGCTGCGTGTGTTGTCTGGATAAATGGCAACGCCTAAATGGCAATACACTGAGAATCATAACATAACATGTAGGAGCAGGAGTAGGCCATTCGACCCTTTGAGCCTGCCCCGCCATTCAATCATGGCTGATCTTCTAATCTAACTCCATTATAATCAATTTATACCGGATTCGATGGCAACAACACACTGCTAAGAATAAGAAGATTCCCAGAGATTTTATTGGACAGAAATGTGGAGTTTTACGGACCCTCGTCATGTCAAAATGCCTGAAATTGCTCCACCAGTAATCACCGTTAAGTGTAGTGACTGGATTTG